GTATGTTTATTTCAAAGCAAAGACCAAATGGTGATTCGGTATAATGCTTCATATATATTCCAATTCTCCCCAGAATCATTTGTCATTTGCATATTCACAGCCAAGACACAGAAACACATTTATCCAAGTGTTTTGGTACAAAAACAGGTTAGCAGCTAGCTGAAATAGGGACATGAGAGAGGACAGTCTACCGCTGACAGACTGTGGGCTGTAATTACGTGCTTTGCCTGTTTATGTAGGCAGGACATAAGATAGCAGCTTTTGGAAAATGTTTACGATTCATAGAAGTAACACTGTTTGTTAAAGCCATCGTTTCTTGATTGCGTGGTTTCTTGTGGTCGGCCCCAGCAGCTCTGATGTTTCCTGGAGATTATCTGATTGATTTAGGAAGATAAACTGCTCTTTAGACAGCTCTATCCTAGAATAAATGCATAACGCTTTCCTTTCAAATAAAGAGTTGAACGAGTGTTCCAGAACACTCGAATGAAACGGAAATATAAAAATAGATAAACAAACAAATAATAATCAAGGAACTGAAGGGAAAAATTTTAAGATTTTTAACTTTGGAGAAATCATTGTGTAAGTGCAAAAACCCCCAAAACGTTGAACTATTAACAAGGTGTTGACCAGAGCAAGATTTACAAAAACACCATTTTATTCTTCATGCTTCAGTGACCGTTTCTAATCATTTGTGAAACTGCTTGGAATAATCAATGGAATATTCCAGTAGTTGCAAATATCTGCAACTCTCACATCCGTCCACCCTCCCCGGTGGCTGAAGAGTGGGACCCCCTGTAGGCGGACCACACCCTTCAGTCCCCTTCTCTCCAGGCCATGTTGTGGAGCCCCCGGCTCCGGCTGCCCCCCCGCTCCACATCACACCCGACCCCTCTGGCCCCTGCTGTGGGCGGTGAGCCCGATGGAGGGGGGGCATGTGGCCTCTGGGGGCTGAGCCCGGCCGGGCTCCATGGGCTAAAGCCCAGCGTGCCCCCCCCCTCTGGGCCTGGCTCCACGGCTCCAGGGTGGTAATAAACACGTAAATCCCAGAAAGTGCAGCGTGGTCTCAGGATGAACGACCCCCCCACCACAAAGTCTTTTTCAGACTCATGCACAGGACAATTTGAAAAATAATTCAAGCTGATCATACTCTTGAGTCTGTATGTGAGCGTGGGGATGTGTGTGGGGAGGGGAACTGTCCCCATTCTGAACAGCGGGGGGGGGTATGTGGTCAGGCTATGGCAGTTGTCAGGGGGTGTATTTAGATTCCTCTGGCATGGCATGATCCTAACCTCAGAATTTTTCCCACTGCCTCAGCATATGAAATTCCCAAACAGTCCCAATCACCCCCCCCCCACCCCCCCACCCCCTCCCACTCATCCTTGAATGGAAAACGTAGCATCTCCCAACTCTTGAGGTTGGAAGTTCCAGCCAAACATGTGGCCTACATTATGAGAATGTCAGGCCTTTAGATGGAAAAGATCCCCTCACTGCTTTAATGTCCACATTTGTAATGAGGCGTGTGGTCAGTCGCCTGAGCTGGAAAACATGGTTCCGGGTCTGCATGCACACAGTACAAGATATCATAAGCTTAAAAAAATCATCTGGAAGAAATGCTGCTCACTGGCCCCACAGAGGTCAAAAGTTTCTTCAAAAAAGGGAAAATGAGTAATGATTTGTGTGTGTGGTGCTGGAGAAAGACATCATCTTTTCACTATATCCCCTCCATGCCCGTGGGAATTCGTCAAAAGGTTTTCCTGTTTGAGCCTCTGTTTTAAGCTTTTTTCAATCTCTGCTCAGTCTGCTACAGATTCTATCAGTGTTTCCAAGGAGCTTGAATAACTTTAACTGTATCATATACAGTATCTATAATGTTTTTTTTATTTTATTTTTTTATTCAATCCGAATCATTCCAGGCATGTTCTACAAACTATTCTTGCCTGTGCCCGGTTAATTGTCTGGCTGAATATACAGATATGGAATTAACAAAAAAAAAACAACAGACAAAAATGATATATAAGAGTAAGTCCACACCAAAACATGTACCTGCGGCTAAATCAGAAAATATGGAATATGTGGAGTTTTACATACGCATATACTGTCATTGGTATGAACCACGAAACTTTCAAGTAATGGAAAGTTATTTGTAAGTAAATCATATCCAACAAAGGCCACTATTGTAGGCATATTATCCTTACTCCAAATAATCGGTTTATTTTTCATTTTTTCTCACCATTTTTTGATCATGTTTGAGTTAATATTACAAAGAGACTTCTGACATCTGAGAATAAATGTATTTATGTTCTTGGTTTTTGGTTTTGTGGGTAATGTTTGCTTTGTTTCCTGTGTGGAGCCACCACTCAGCCGCCTCCACACGAAACTGATACTGACAAAGAGACAATCAAATTACATAGAAGAACAAAAACAAAAACACAGTCACAACAAATCCTATTTAGCGTGTTGTCACAAAAGTGTCATAAGATTGAACCCAATTCAAGCCAATTTGAATCCAATAAGTTCAAGTTCATGCAATTCTAAAGTCTAATTAAACATACAACCATTTTCAAGAATCAAATCTAATCTATCTAATCAAAATCAACATAAATGGAGTTCCATAGGCAGCTCTGTGGGGTAACCTGACCCGTGCATGACTGTAATCTTGAGCATGTGTGACAGTATGACTGATGAACTCTGTCTGGATGCTGGAATTAGTGAGGTTTTGTCTCCTTTCCTGCATTGTTGTGTGATTTTGAAATCTAACGATGAAACATATGTTGTGTAGAACCTCTCCACAGTTTGAATGACTCTGATGTTTTCATATCAGAGAAATAATGACACTCTTAGTAGGGATGCTTTCCATCAGTCCTTTGTAAAGCTGAGGGAGGGCTCTGGGCCTCTGGAACTGTGATGGTGGTGATTACAGTTCAGCTAAGGGTTGATAGCAGATGCGAGCCAAGAAACGTGAGCTCTTCTCACTTTGATCCAGCTGATGCAGGGAGCCTGCGGGGGGGGGGGGGTCCTGAAGCTGGCTCAAAGGTTTAGTCTGTATTGAGGATGACTTGGTTCTCTTCTCCTCTGACTGAGACACTTTGTACAAGATTGCTGTATGCTTTGTCCTTTTTAGGCTCTGTCTAAAAAGACTCATTGACAGAACATGTTTCAGTTCAAAACACTAATGTTTAGACTCTGTCAGCCGGACATCTGAAATGACTGCTGAGACCCAAAAAAACTGATTATGGTTATTTGTTGAAGTACAGTAGCTAACCAAAGTCTGAACGTCTTTTAAATAACTGGTTCTTAGTCTGTATTTTAAAGATGCAGAAACTGATTAAACTCAGCAGCTTATTCTGTGATGTTCCACCGTTTAGGAAAATCAACTTCAAGGAATCAAAGACTTTTTATTGTCCTACCAGCTCACATTTCCCGGGTTATGGAACACAATTTGCTCTTGGATTCTGGTTTAGGAAGCCTAACAAATAAGTATAAAAGAATTTTAAAGTACTTTTTTAAAGCACACACGTGTAATTCCACTTATGATGAATGAGATGTTTCACCTAGTTGGGCAAAGTGATTTAGAGCAGGTCAGCTAAAGACAGAGAGAGAAGTGTGACAGTCAGAAAACTACAGATAACACTCTTGTATTTCTATTGTTTGTTTTGCCTGTCGCCCCCCCCAGCCCTGGGCTCAAGGAGAAGCTCTCACATTTAAAGTCAGTTGCTGTAAGCCATATAAATACTGATCAACCACTACAGACAATGGCTCTGAATGTACACTTTCTATGATTTCAAATAATTAACATTCTTTGAAGTACTAAGACCTTTTTTCCATAAAAGATATCGCCATACTTGAAACGTAATAAGTATCAAGGTTAAATTCACAAGAAATCTTGTTAATTGTTACCTTATGACTAAATCAACAACATTTTAAGGCATGATAAAGGTCTAATGAAATACTTTTCACAGGTTATCAGTCAGTTATAATGTACTAAATTATTTTAAAAATCAGGGCCTTCAAGGTTCCTTGGATAATCCTGTTGGAAATATACTTGTTTCCCAAAGCAAGGCTGTGAGCTTGTGTTATGGAGCCGTCTGTGAATCCTGAACTTTAGTGGCCTGCAAGATAGAGGCGAGGACTTCATTTTGGTGACACCCTTACATTGATAAGCATGCTCCCTTTTAATTTCAATTCAGTTTAACAAAAGGTCTGTGACAGCAACATCTTCCTCAGGGCATGGTTTCCTACCTAGCTCTGAACCAAAGCCGTGGCCTCAGTAGGCCACATTCCATGAATGTTTTGCAGACACTGTTGACTTGTATTAATGACAATAAAGACTACCAAGGCAAAAACCATGTTAAAAAAAAAACATTTTAAAAACAAAACTTTATTTTGCTATACACGTCTTGCACATACACATGTACATTAGAGACATCAGCAAAACCTTTTAGAGGAATGTTCCATTTTAATCCACCGGGTTTTACATACAGGGTAGGAGTCAGTGCAGGTAAATTATGTTGAAGTTCTTTGCTGTTTGTGCAAAGTTTGGATGTCATCCACATCCCGGAAGCTCCCCCCGGAAGTGGACCGCTCCAATGACCAGATTCAGCCAGTCCTGCCACAGATGAGAAAAAAACCCAACAACAACTGCTGGCCGCAATGAGTGGTTTGTCTGGTCAGATTACGGGTTTGTGTGTAACTGAGGTCAGCAACAGCCTGCTGGACTGACGGACGGTGCCATCCATGGACGAGTGGCTGTGGAATCCAACAACCACTCACCTCAGGACCAACTCCAGAGAAGATGGCAGGGCAGTCCAAAGATTGGTCATTTTTAAACTAAGAAACTCAAATTCCAACATATTACATTTGCTCATAGAGCTGTTTCTATTCCACATCTGTTGCTTTCATAATTCTGACAAAAGGAAAACAAGACTGCCTCAGTGACAAGACAAGGCCCAAGAACCCCTAGAAGTTGAAAAAAAACCCAGGTCACTGTCGGAATCCTGGGTCACTGGATCAGCCCCCCCCCCATTCTCAGCCTACTTGTTCTTATTAATATAATTTAAGCACCTTACTCATATCATCTGTTACTTTTCTTTACCTGTAATCAACCTTAATAGACTTCCTCATAGGAGTCCAGTACTTCCTCTTGTGAATAATGATAACTTTTGTTAATAGTGCTCATTATAAAAAGTAAGTTTATTATCATTGAAATTCCACTTTTCACAAATATTTATACCAGCAGGAACAAAAACTCCTGTTTTAAAAGTCCACCTGAAATTAACATCTATTAAAAAAACAACAAATTCAAGTTTTTCTAACCAGTTTTAAGTAGAGACTGTAGATGAATAGAAACTAATGCTGCACTGGAGGCGTTCCCAGTTCATCTTATCGTACAGCCACAGTTCAATATCCTACAAGGTGTACTTGGTTCTAAAATGAGGGCTGGTGCCTACAGTATGAGACACTTAATAACGAGGCATAGTCCAAGGAACAAGATAATGCAAAGACAGGAAAAATGGACAGAAAGGAGGAGCAGAATGTTTTCCAACCAATTAGTGGCCCAATGGTCAGGCAGTGGGACGTCAGGCTGAGGAGGGGGGGTGGACAGACCCTGGGGGATCTCACAGTAAGCTCCCGTCCAACCCTGGTAGCACTGGCATGTGAACTTGTGCTTCATGTCCAGGATATCGTGGCTGCTGACTTGACCACTGACATGGAATCTATTGAATGTAGAGCTCAGGTTTTGGTGGATGTGGAAGGAGAGGGGGTTCAGATGCAGGTAGGCTCTTGAATCCAAGCTTTTGCGGACGCATCTGCCGTTTTTCTTGCAAAGAGCTTTGCTACACAGTTTAGCTGCTGATGTGACGTTGATGACGTAATGCCCCAGTGGACCATCAATGTACTTCTTCACAGTCAGGCAGTTTCTCTAGAGAGGAAGAAGAGATTTTGTCATTAGTCTAAAACTAGAATCAATAACGTTCTTATTTCCTGTTGCAAACCAGTAATCTTAAACTGGGTCTGTTTTACATCACATTTTGAGCACATTACTACTTTCTGTTCAACCTCACTTTCTATCCTTCACATTCAAATCAACAAAGTTATCTCTCAAGAAAGTGTTGGATTGAAGTGGAACTGGAGCTGCATTCCAGACTAGCTACTGGTGAGTAATACCTTGGATCGTGCATACTCTGAGGATCCCCACAGGACCACACCTGAAGCTCCCAGGGCAGCACTTTCCCCAATCGTGTGCACCAGGTCATTCTTATTTAAAAAACAATGAAATTGCATTTTAACCTGTTATCACTGGGATTTTTAATGAACAAGTAAGAACCTCTCACAGATGAATTATTTTTGGTTATGTTTTCTGTTTCTGCTGGTAAATTTGTTTGAGTTGATTCTAAGCTGCAAGTATGTTAGCTGTATGACTGTAATCAGAACACTTGTTTTGTGAAGTGTCACATTTAGTAAATTTGCTGTAAATATGATGCTAACTCCTCAAACATAGTTTAATATGAACTGCAAAACCTTTAACCATGGCATAAAAAGATTATCCCATGCTCTGTCATTTCTTACTGCCAATAGCCATGTATTTCCCAGCATGTGGTTTACACCTGAATCACACAAACAAATGGAACTTTTTGTGAAAGTGTGTACCTCTGTAAGCACAACAAATGTATAGGCATAGAAAGGTCTAGAGTATACAAAGACAGGCAGTGTGAAGTCCGTATGTGCAATGGATGCGATCCTCATGGCTTCTTTGACACGATAATGGACGAACTTGATGGTGTTTGGTGAGGACTTCAGCTCATAGTCCAGGTAGATGGACGGGTAGAGGGCGGTGCTCTCCTTCCAGAGCCACATCAGGTGGTCATTGCGAACATGCTCCACGTTTGGGCATTCACCGGTGTAGCGTTGTGGGTGCTGCTTGTAGCCATAGTTGTAGCAATCTGGAAACAGGTAAAAGCCCCACAGCCCGTCTGGCCGGCGAGCTTCAGCCAGCGCTAGGGTCAGGTTCATGAAGGCCTGCCCAGCTCTCTCAAAACTTTCCTTTGCCTCCTTTTCTACTTTACTCTCTGGCCAGCCGGGGTGAAGTTTTCGGATTTGTTCCTTGGATTTTTTGCGGTAGATGTCTTTGGAACCCCAATTTCTGACCCATTGTGGCCTCCAGTTCTCCCAGTCGATGACGCCCAGCCCTCGAAAGTCCTTGTGGGGGATCAGCTTGTCAATGTCAGCCCTGGCCTTGCTCAGATGCTTGGAAATGCTCTGGTTCTGAGGTAAGCCGCCGTTGATAACAACTCCAGAGCTGGAATAATATGGGTAATATCCAAGATGGCTGTGGTAGAATATGGTGACATTTGGTCCACTTAAGGTTTCGTTCAGATTTGCTACAATGTCAAAAACACTGAGATCCAGGTCCACCTTGAATCGAAGACGACACGACTCTGTCGGAGCGTTCCATACTACAATAAAAGGTCGATGGGGGATCAGAGGGGGTTGAGCTGGCTTCATTTTGGCTCCACTGACTTGAAGCTTTACTCCAGGGAAAACCCACAAGACCAAAGGCAGGAGGCAGAGCTGAACCAGAACCATGGCCCACGATTTCCTCAGTCACCAATGGATGACCTCTAAAGACATAAACAGAGTAAATAAACAAGCTTCAGTGAAAAAGTATAATCATGCAGGCTTTTGAAAAAACATGAATGATGATCACTGAAGTGAAAGCCTTAATAAAACTGATACCAGCAACACTTTGTTCTCAGTGGAAGTGGCTCTTGAAATAATGTGGGTTAAAATTCCAAAGATCTGTAACAGTCCAACTACTCAGTGGTACAGTGATAGATTTGGACTTTATCAACCCAAAAAAATGAAAGCAACTATGTGCTGGAGGTGCTGAAATGCCAAATGAAAAGGTTAGATCACATGGATTAACACTAGAAAAGAAGTCATGAACATTTGGGAATGGCTGATAAGTTTAAAAATGTACCTCTTACAGCAGTGTACATGTTTTTTTTAAACTTCGACACTTTAACAGGGTTCACTTAAAAAAACTTGAAATGTTAAGTGTGTCTTTCTCAGTGAAATTATACTAAGATGTTTATTTGGTTTGGATTTACATTTTACAGCTCCAAGGTTTGTTTATATCTCTGTTGTTATGGCAAAATTCTGTACCCTGGAGTGCATGATTTATGTGGTGTGTGGAAAAGGTAAGAAGTGGTGGGCCTCTGCTGCAGTCATTATTCTGATGAGAAGCCGGCCTGGATCTGCCTTTTGAAAAAGTCTGTTTATGAACGGAGGACATCAAATGACCTTTTTTTTAAATGATGTAATTCACCAATATGTTTTCTTGTCACCAAATAAGATTCTTAGAAATCTTCCCACTAGTTTCCTAAAACAAACAGCATGTGGGGGAAAGTCGGGTTAGTGTCCTGCAACCTGCTGAAAGCATGGAACCTTACATCATAACCTCAGACCACAAGAAATCTTGTCTAAACTGACACTATGTGATTGACATCAGTTCTATTCTTGTCTCATATATACAAAACACAACAGTGAAAAGTATCTAAACTTAGCGACTTATCTCAGTGGGATAAATAGATGTGATCTTTTTTCTATGATATTTAAAAAAGCTTAAGACGTGTTTTTCTAATTTTGTGAACCACCGCTAAATTCCAGTGGAAATATGTTTACACTGGAATTGTTAACACAATACCAAGATTAAAAGTTAAGGTTTGGATATGAAAATAAAGTCCAATTAAGAAATTGTATATATGACAATGACACGGCTAAACTACTAGAGAGAATACAAATCGTAACTTATAATTTGACATTTATATACTTATGGTATGGCATGAAAAAGTGTCCAAGTGGTGTCCTGGTATAACCATAATAATCTATGGCAAAACACTACACAATATCTTTTTAAAAATACAGTATGTAAATCAAAATTGAATACTTGCTGGACAAGTAACTTCTTTTGTAATGCTATAACAGCACTACTACATTTTTACATTTTGTAAAAATCTATTTCTGGAAAAGAACTTCCCTCCAACTGTACACTGTCACCACTGATGCCTTTACCAGAATCTGACCGGTGATTTTATGCTATGTTGCTTGTTGTTAAGTTGATGTTTACTGTAATGCTGCATCTGCATTGTAAGTCGCTTTGGATAAAAGTATCTGTTAAATGCAAACGTAAATATAAACACTGATGAGGATTGGAGTGGTTACATTAAATCAGCAAAGTCCTCCTCCACCATTTTCAGTGTGAATGGGCAGCCACAGGTTCAGAGCCCCCCCACCTGACTCCACCTGAAGCTCTGGGCCCCAGCATGGAGCCCCCAGACACTGGAAATCCTCTGTGTCCAGATGTGAAAGTTGACTACTGACAATAATCCATATAGCTCACTACCACATGCTACATTTATTGAGGAAAATATAGATCAATAAACAAATTAGATTATTTGAAAGTTGTATATTTGAGGATCAGACAAATTGTTGACTACTTCATGTTACATTAATTGTGGAAAATGTGGATCTATAGATTAATTTTATTATTCTTGAAATTATAATACAACATATAAACAAAGACAGTTGTGCAAAAGTTTTTGTGGCTCTCACTGATCTTTCATACAGGTCTTTCCCTTCACCATATAAGGCGACTTTAAAAACCATCCATCTTGAAATTATTGACACATTTGCTCAGTTTTGATGAGGATATATAGTTTTCCCCTTTGCAAGTAATAGTGTGTGCATATTTTGCTAATCAGTTACAACAAATTGGAGATGTGTATTGCAAACCCTCTGTTATGGGGTAATAACATATTTTCCCGAGCTGAGGAAAGAGTAGTTTAATTTTTAAAAGAATATTAAAACTTAGCCCATAGGGAACACACAATCCTCATAGAACTTGTTGGGAAAAGTAGCCCAAAAGGAAACAGAACAGAACAACCAAAGCAGAATTGCGACAACCACACTCCTTTCCGCAGAAGCATGCTCCCCACACAGCGCTCAGACTCCTGCAGACGCCACAATAGCTGGCCCACTGGCGCCTCTCCGTTCTTACAAACAAACTTTGGTTTGTTTTGGAAATGTCCATAATGAAAAACGAGCCCCTTGACTCACACGTGGGACAATGCCTCCACCACCACATTCTCCTCTCCTTTTGGGTGTTGGATTCTGAGGTTCTGGTCTTGCACTGATGATGTCCACTGCAGTAGCTGTCGGGTAACTGTGGGTGGACTGCCCGCAGCAGCAGAGGACTGGGAGGTGTGCACCGGCACTGGGAGGGTTCATCTACTCCAACCTGGTGAAGAGGAACTGCTTTGCCTTCATTTGAATGGATTACTATTCACTTGGGATGCAGATCTTCAACGCTTCTATCAGCAGAAGTTCAGGTCATGCGGAGTTGCTTCCTTTACAGGTGGAGCACCACGGACTAAACAACATGCTTTTCTCTCTTTAACAAGTGTCTGATAGGACCATTTTCGAAGACCACGGAAATGCTGTCTGTTTGATTCTGGCACCAGTTCATGAAGATGGAGAACAGTAGCTTTAAGCTTCTCATGGCTCAAAGTGTCCTGAATGGAAGGTCCAGTGCTTCCTCAGCCTTAGCAGTCAACTTAGAAATGTGAAAGAACAGCCTGCCTAGCTTCCAGCAGTAGAAAAACATTTAGTTTGGAGAGGCCAGCACTCACTTGTGAATACGTTTTTTATTTACAATCAGAATTGAAATTCTCCCTGTTGGTTAACGAGTGACGCTCTGATGCCCATTGAAAAAAGGGCACAACTATACAAGTGTGCACACTCCTGAAAATATTGATCCAATATTTGAAAAGCTATTTTTGATCATTTTCAAATTTCTTCTCCAGAGCATTTATCAATAAAGCAAGTACTGTGTTCAAATGTAAAATCCCCATTACCATATAGGTCAATCATAACGAATACAATCTCTGAACTGTAGGACAGAATCACATTTCATTTTATAGTTGCCACAAGGGTGTACTCCTCCCAAAATCATCTATACTGAATGTGGTTATACAAACAAGAACATCTTCATTTCAAAGATTACATGAGCTATAACAAGCATGCCAGGAACTTCTTAAAGTTTGAAAGTGCTGTGTGTCAAAGTGGTATCAAACAAACTTGCTGTCCTAAAAACTTCTGTCACCAAGCTGGAAATCTTATTTCCTGAACCAAGTCAATGACAACATAATGCACCAAATAAATCACATAGTCCAGTGCTTGGATTAAATTTTATAACAATATCTGGATTATGTTATGATAGTATGATAGTAAATTATCTAGATTAGTACTGTTCCCCCAAGCACTTTTTGTTTTATAATAGTTTCAAATCTCTTATCTGCATATGAATGCTTTTGAAGTTAACTTTTAAACATAATATTTAACGAAACAAAAAATCTCAATACATTTAATAGTGCGATTGCAAGCTACTCATTACCAGATTTTAGCAGCTATGAGAAAGCGTTTCTAATAAAACAACACAAAAAAACAATGGAATTTAAAATGGACTTTCAGGGATCTATACCATTCAAATTTCATTATGTGATAACTGAGAACACAATGAAACCCATCAATTTGTTTTGGTAGGTTTATAAGGTTAAATCATTTCAGACGTCAACAACAGTAGTTCTTTTCAAATATTGCATACCTTCTGCTCTTTTGTTAGCTGTCCCAAGCTCCAATATTATCCGAGAACAAATGTCTTTTTCTGTTGGTGTTTTAAAGCTAAAAAACAATTGAAAATGTCATCCATTATCATTTCTTCCTTCATCCCCTGATGGTCATGTCCTCAAAGTGTCATGCAGCAGAGATGCCCCCGCTATTGTTCAGTTTGGCCCCTCCTCATCAGACAACAGGACTCTCATTTCATGGACCAAATGACAGATAAGACTTCAGATAGTGTTTTTAATGGTCCATATTCTGAGCTTTGTTACATATGTCAGGCTTTAACATAAATGCACATTGTTGTTAAAAAAATGAAAGCAATTCATCCTTTTCATTGAATCACCGTTAGAGACATATAAATCCCATGACCTAGAATATTGCCCAGCTCATCATAAAGCATCTGACCACTTTTTCTGGCAGTACATCCAGCCAAAAAAACAAAAAAAACAATGAACAAGCAACAAGCCTTTCATATAAAGTAAACCAATATACAGGGTATTACAAAAAGCAGGTGGGATGTGATAAAAGCATATATAAGTTTTTGCTTATTTTTAAAGCATTCACAAAAACAGTTTGACTTTAGACAAATCTCAGCGACCAGCAATCCGTGTTGCATTTGAAACTGTCAGCAATTTGTGGCTATATTCTAGGTTTTATCCCACTGGTCAGGCTTTACTGACCGAGCCTGGATCTGTAAGGTCTGGACATCCCTGACACTACCAGTGACCAATAACAACAATTATCCTCAATGATGTCTCAGTCAAACCCTGCCTGTCTCTGTGTGGCCCTGTGATGGACTGGCCACCTGTCCAGGGGGTCCAGCTCTGGCTGGACCTCAGCCGGCCTGTCCTCCAGCCCTCTGGGCCCAGCTGGGATAGGCGGTACAGGTAATGGAGGGATGGGTTGGTCTAGAAAGTACACATGGAATTGTGATTGACAAACATGACATCTATAGGTCCTAAAACTGTGCGAAAGTAGTGTAAGTTGAATCACCATGCAGGATTTTAAAATGTTCTGAATTATTTCTGTTGAGCGGTGCAGCTTTTCCCTTTTTTCGTCACTAATTAAATTAAAAGTCTAGAAAGAAAGTGTCTACTGCCATCTAGTGGTAGGAACATGATCTAGCACTGGAATGTAAACAGTAAATGTTTTCAGGTGCATCCAGCGCACGTTTAGAATTGTTACCTCATCACAAATGCATTCAAGAAATCTTTAACAGGCTTTATTCCTAAATCACTTTAAACTGAGACTGCATGGACCTAATCTCAAACAAACTAAAACACATGCAGCACTATTGAGTTTTGTACATTTAACCTTTTTAAGCTTTACTCAGGCCCTTATGTGTTGAGGCCAAATGACTACCATCTGTGCCTCAGCTGGAAAGTGACCCCCCCCAAGCAAAGGCATGAAGAACTCACCTGTCGAAGCAAGGATGAACCCTCCCAGCTCCAATTCCAACATGGACTGCCACGGAGCGTTGGCTTCAAAACAAAAGAGCACACAGGACAACAAAAAAAAGACTAAAATATATGATAATGGACAGACTGCACATCTTTCTCCTCCTTATGGCGACCTTGCTTTTGTTTTAGGCAGCAGAGTTAAGAAAGAAGGAAAAATTAAGGATTTTTTTCCAACTATAAATTGTGACAACTGTATTCAAGAGACTCACTGGGACCCAGAATTAGTAGAACAAATTAAAAGTGAATGGAGAGGAACTCTATATTATGCTAATGGAATCAATAATACATGGTGGCAATATTATTTACGTGCCAGAAGGTGCCCAAGAAAAATAGAAAAAAGACGAAAACATTGAAACCATCAGCTTAAAATCACATTTAAATGTGGGGAGCAGACCTCTCAAAGAAAATCATCTGTGTCATCCGTGGATTTTAAAGGTTGAAACACATCTGAATGCAAGTATAATGGAGTGTAACATCAGGCTAAACAATACAGTATGAAGAAGGTCAAAGGTCAGGAACAGCTGAGATATGTAAACATTCCAGGTTCCTGCTTGTGTGTGTATCTGTTGGAACCTGTAATCTCTTTGTGTCAGTAAGAAGATTCAAGATTGTGGACAGTGACAATTTAAAGAATTAGTTTCTGAAGAATAATATATAATAATAACAAATAATGATAATTGTTTTCTCACAATACTACTACTAATACTATACTACTACTATAATAATAATAATAATAATAATAATAATAATAATAATAATAATAATAATAATAATAATAATAATAATAATAATAATAATGATGAGGAATTAGTAAAATAGTCCAAAAAATGTTATCGAATGATCTGCAGAACACAATTATTATGAAAAGTTAAAATAGTGAACCTTTTCCAAATTAAAAAGCCTAAAAAGACTCACTTTCAGCAAACTTGGCCCTTTAAACGCGACAATCCGACTATTTAAAGTTTAAATAGTCGGATTGTCGTTCGTTTAAATTTTAAACGAACCTTGCGGTATTTAAAACTCGAGCAGTTCAAACCAACGCCAACGCGGGGGGGGAGCCATGTTGTTCTAGTTAAAAGAGGGATTTTTATTACAAACATAGCTATTGATATGATATAAAACTATTTAATATAAAAACAAAAACAATACATTGCTATTAGCTGTAAAGTCTTTTTTGTTTTTAAAAAATCATAGCACCTTGTTTTATCCGTACCCCTATTTCTCCAACTTGGGAACTTCCGGTGTGTAAGTTGACAATGTTGTCATGTCTTTGTTGCCTCCGTAGCGCCGTGGGTTTTGTGATTTGAACTGCGTGGTAGATGGGAAAATAATAGTTATCTTTTCTATAACGAGGCCGATTTACACGTTACCCCTAACAGGTATGTTCAAGTTCGTAAATGGCTGTAAATTATATACACTTTTTCTTTTTCAAATGTAAGTGAACGAGAAACCATTCATCCATGCTAAGTTAGCCGGCTGGCTAGCTGTTGGCTAACATTAGCTGTACTTGTGGCACTGTTAATGATTAGAACAGTGCTGTTCATGTTATCACGTTGAATATGAAACATATGGATGTGAACTGTTACAGGCACGAACTGGAACAGTTCACTGCGACACATTGTGATGAAATCCCGCTAAATTTGCTGAGGGAAACCGTAAACGGGCGAGTTAGCTTGTCAATTAGCAAAGTCCTGGATAAAAGGAGAATCATTGTAGCAGGTGTAGTCTGGAATATAATACTTACGATATCAGCTAATATAAAAAAATCAGTCTTTATGAATCACCAACTAATAATTATCTTAGTTTTATTCTTCATAACCATTTTGATTTCCATTGTGTTGTTGTTTATGTTGTTTACGTTCACCTTTGGGTTTAGTTGCACCTCAGTCTGACTAACGGGTGTTAGCACATGCGTTCAGTTTCATGCTATGCCAGAGTTCAGGATGCTAAAATACGTGTACAACCCAAAACTATGTTTGCTTCAACATGCATGTGAATCTATCTGATAAAGTCAAACCACCCAAAAGATGGAAGAAAAGCTGAACGGATCACTGCCTGTTGTCTCCCCGGAGTATCTTCATCAGTGGTGAGTCCTCATCCTCACCACAGTATGGCCAGAAAGGAGTCAAATTGTGATAAAAGACCTGTAAATGGCAAAGTGTGATCAAATGAAATGAAAGCATGTGCATCCACTTGCCCTTTTGTCTTTGTTCTCCTCCATTGTTTTTGGGTGTGTGAACCATGAATGATGAATCTCTGTTGGTTTTGCTCTGTGTTTGCCTGGTTGTATTATTATCTGGATCATTACAGGGAAACAAAGAAATGCACCTGTGTTTTTATTGTTTTTTGTTTAGCTTTGATTCACCAACCATTGGCTGATGGCTTAGTATCTTACTTGTCCAGCCTAAAGGTAGTTGCAATTAACCTTGCTACTGCTAGAAGTATACTTCTGTCCTCTATTGTTTGAAAGCACATGCAGATGATACATTTTCCAAGTGTAAAGTAGCTCCTTAGGCTTCCTCCTCCACTAGCTTCATCTGATGTTTATCCTGTGACTTATATAATTGGTATTTTCTATAAATTCAAAGTACAAAATGTTACATTTACAAATCTCCTCCAAACCTATCATCCTTTAATCAGACAGCTTAATCAAAACTTAACTATTACATACTATGAGTTCATTTAATTGTTTAAGCCTATGGATTAGTGATTGCACATGAAAAAAGTTCAAAGAAAACACTACAGACAAGTTTAGCTCGGCTCATCACCACACATCAGATCTCGCTGTAATTTGTACTCCATCCTCCACAGGGTCCGGTCCGCCCAGCAGTTTCAAGCTCTCCAGGCCCAATACGCGTCCTTGAACCCAAACCATCAGTTCCATTACCCAGAGAGCACGGGTGAAGAGGCAGCCATGGCGCACATGGCCAACCCGGAATCCACCACGGATCAGCTGGAACCCACAAACCTGGCAAAACGTACCAACATTTCCTTTAAATGAAACATTCCCACAGTATCTTGAGCTGAGAGAGGATATCCACATCTATGTCTAAGGGGTTAAACTTGAATTAGATTCTCTCATGAAGAACTAAAATAAACTCTAAAATATCTTAAGAATTTTCAAAGTATTTAAAGTGATGTTGTTTGTCTGAAAAGTGTATTAGCGGGTAGACAGAAATCAAATAATACAGAGCGCTGTTATGACATAATTTAAAAGTAACTACACTAAAGGTTCTAAAGCGTCTCTGAATGATTCGGATTTTGTTTTTTGTTCTTGAAGCTCCGGCCAAAAAAAGAGGCAGACCAGCACAACCCAAGGAACCGGGTGCACCCAAACCACCAAAAGTCCCCAAAGCACCAAAAGTCCCCAAAGCACCCAAGCCCCCCAAGCCCCCCAAAGATCCAAACGCCCCCAAAGCAAAGCCAGGCCCAAAGCCCAAGAAGGCTGCCGAGGCTCCGGCGGAGGGGAAGCAGGAGAAGATTGACGAGAGCTTCAAGAAGGTGAAGCGGAAAGTAGACCGATTCAAAGGGATGTCGGAGGAGGAAGTCATGAAAAAGACGCTGCCAGACCTGCTGGATTACAACCTGGACTACGTCATAGTGAGATCCACTTTATGGCTGCTTGAGGAAACATTATTAGGAGATCCTTTTTGTGCCATTTAACAAACACCTTGCTGGCTTTTTAGATTGGAATCAATCCAGGATTGATGGCAGCTTTCATTGGCCGGTGGTTCCCAGGTCCTGGAAATCATTTCTGTAAGTTATGATTCAGCTAAAACATTGTGTTGTACAGAAAATGAACCGGCTGGTTCACAAAAATATACAGAGGACTGGAAAGTGCTCAGGGGATCCGGTTTAGAAAGACAATTTCTCCAAAACCAGGACTTCACCATGTAGCTTTCTGGCAGTGAAGTATTTTCAATGGTTAGAAGTGAGCTCTTTTTTTTTTTTGTTTTAGTTGCTGTGCTGAAACATGAAAATAAGATAATAAGAAAAAGGTTTGAGACGTTTGTAAAAACGTCATTTTACGTATCTGATCTGTACCGTCTTTGTAAAAAAAACTAACTGATAATTTGCCAAAACAGGCTTGTGTCTCTGTGAGCTCTTCCATTTAAAAAAAGGACGGTTTGTTCTGTCGGTATCTGCTAACGAGCAAACCTCTTTAATTGCAGGGAAATGCCTGTTTCTGTCGGGATTCACTGAGGAACAACTCAACCACATGCACGACACAGACCTGCCCGTCAAGTACAAAATGGGCTTCACCAACATGGTGGCCCGAGCAACCCCCGGAAGCAAAGACCTCTCAAGGTAGGCGCCTGGACTCTGCAGCCCGAGCCCAACGCAGTAGAGGTTGTTAGGCTGAGAACTAATGTTAACAGGTGACATTTCTGTGGTTTTTACAGTAACATTTAAAGAAGAAATTGCTGCATTAAAAACCTGTTTCTGTTTGTTTTCTCATCACCAGTAAAGAATTACGGGAAGGAGGCAAAATTCTCGTGGAGAAGTTGAAGAAATACAAACCACTTATTGCTGTTTTTAATGGAAAATGTAAGGTTTGTTCAAGCTGTAGAGACACTCTTACTCCAAAAAGCTACTTGATTTGCTAAATTAATGTCATGTTTTTTTCCCCCCAGGTATTTATGAAATGTTCTGCAGAGAACTGTTTGGCAAAAAGCCACAAAAACTTGAATTTGGCTTGCAGCCGCACAAGATCCCCGACTGTGATGTGGTGAGAGCCCAACTCAGCCCGATTACAGACAAACACACTCATGTTTTATATCCACTAGTTTAAACTCTGGAAACAATATCGCTTGAGATTAAATGTCCCCCAGATAAGATTACAAGTAATTTAAAACTCAGCAGAGCTGCTCCACAAGCTTTAATGAAGTGTATTCATCATATTCATAAATTCCTTTTGAGGAACTGCGAGCTCAGTGTGAAAATGTCTGCTCTTGGGGTTAGTTTGAATGTTTATCAAGGTAAGTTCACAAAGAACCTCAGCCAGTGGAAAATAGTTATTTTGGACATTAGCATCAGGTTCCAATGTAACCCACCTTAAGAAAACGAAATTGAATCCCCCATTGTTTGTAAACATTTTTGAAAGTCAGTTGACCTGTTTCTGTTCTGAGTTGTGCATGGACGTGTGAGCAGCGGGCAGCTGCTGGTGGCTGAGTCCAGCTCTCTGCTGGTGTCCCTGATGCCCGGAGCGGACATGTTAACAAGTGGAACTTATCAGACCCCCTGCCCCCGCAGGCCCTTTTCCTGATGCCCTCGTCCAGCGCCCGCTGTGCCCAGTTCCCCCGGGCTCAGGACAAAGTGCACTTTTACATCAAGCTGCGGGAGCTCCGGGACCAGCTGAAGGGCATCCAGAAAAGCACCGAGGTCCAGGAGGTCCAGTACTCGTTTGACCTCAAGTTGGCTAAGGGTAAGCCGGGGTGACCGTATAAACAGCACCACTAGTGTCCCCAGCTCTCTGATGCTACCGGGGAATTCTTTCCCCTGCCACAACAGAGGACGCCAAGAGGCTGGCCATAAAGGAGGAGCAGTACGACCCCGGGTACGAGGACGCCTACGGCGGGGCCTACGTGGAGAGAGCAGCAGAGGAGGGCCAGGCTGAGGGCCAGAGCAACGGCCACTGCACCTTCTCCTCTGCCGAGAACACGGGTAAACACACACAGGCCGGCCAGGCCAGAAAAGCTCTTCTGTTTTAGCCTGTACAGTCGTGGCCAAAACTTTTGAGAATGATGCAAATGTTGATATTTACAAAGTCTACTGCTTCAGTTTTTTTTACGGCAATTTGCATATACTCCAGAATGTTAAAAAAAGTGTTCAGCATAACAGCAATTAATTGCAAAGTCAATATTCCCCCAAAACACATTTCAACGTCATTGTTGCCAATAAGGCTCCAGGGCGCCCAAGAAAGACCAGCAAGAGCCAGGACCGTCTCTTAAAAGTGTTTCAACTGTGGGATCGGCTACCAGCAGTACAGAGCTAGCTCAGGAATGGCAGCAGGCACGTGTAAGGGTTAGGGTTAGGGTGTGAGTGCATCTGCACGCACTGTGAGGCGGAGACTCTTGGAGCAAGGCCTGGTCTCAAGGAGGGCAGCAAAGAAGCCACTTCTCTCCAGGAAAAACATCAGGGACAGACTAATATTCTGCAAAAGGTACAAGGAGTGGACTGCTGAGGACTGGGGTGAAGTCATTTTTTCTGATGAATCCCCTTTCCAGTTGTTTTGGACATCTGGAAAATGGCTTGTTCGGAGAAGATGAGGTGTGCACTACCACCAGTCTTGTCTCATGCCAACTGTAAAGCATCCTGAAACCATTCATGTGTGGGGTTGCCTCTCAGCCAGGGGAGTCTGCTCTCTCACAGTCTTACCTAAAAACACAGCCATGAATAAAGAATGGAACCAGAATGTCCTCCAAGAGCAACTCCTCCCAACCGTCCCAGAGCAGTTTGGTGATGAACAAGGCCTTTTCCAGCATGATGGAGCAAAGGTGATATCTAACTGGCTTAAGGAACAAAACATAGAGATTTTGGGTCCATGGCCTGGAAACTCCCCTGATCTTAATCCCATTGAAAACTAATGGTCAATCATCAAGAGACGGGTGGAAAAACGAAAACCTAGGAATTGTGACAAAATTCAAGCATTGATTGTATTTCTGTATGTGATGACAACATCTGACATACACACACGAAAACCAGAGGGCAGCAGATCATGTGTAAATATAATATTTGTTTCATTCTCAATACTTTTGGCCATGACTGTAGATGGCCGTCCACCCCCTGGTGAACTCAGGCCAGCGATGAGCCGGTGCTCATGGTTCAGACATCGCTGTAGTTCAGTTGATCGGTGCAAAAGGCCCACCAGCATCCACAAACAAAGAGCTATCATTGTTGACCTGGTTATAAAGTCCCCCCAAAAGGGCATTGTAACTTCTCACCATGGGGTGTTGGGTTGTACGGGCAGTTAGCTCTCCTCCTGCACATGTGAGCAAACGCTGAGCGGCTGTGCTGTGCGTCCCCAGAGGGAGCCCAGGACACCGCCCAGGAGACCGCCGCCTCCCAGGCCGCCATGGGCCAGCTCCCGGACGGCCAGTGGATGACCCAGTCCTTCGCCGACCAGATTCCCGACATAAGCGGAGGCCCAAAAGACAGCAGCATATGAGGGACGCCCGGCAGCCGCCTCAGTCTTTACCTCAGTTTTTGTTCTTTTTATTAGTGTCTGAGTGGATCATGACCACATTCTTAGAGCTTCTTAGAAATGTTGCTGAATATTCTCTCTGCATTTTTTTTCCGGTGGTCTTTCAAACATGAATGATTGTGTCCACAGCCGTCTCTGAGTATGTGAAACCAGGGCGGCTCAGGAGCAGGCGGAGTATTTAAGCGTTTGTTTCTGTCTTTGTACTGTACTGTACTGCACTGTGCTGCAGTAAGCCTCAACGTTCACCTCTACTGACTGGACAGTAGGTCAAACTGGTTCTTTCTGCTCCCCCTGCTCAGTGGAGCCTGTGTGATCCTCTGTTTGCAGAGAAGACTTAACTAGCATTGCTGATTTACATTAATGGTGCTATGAACTGATGAGATACGAACTGATCATGTGATAAACACAGACTCTTGAGTGTCTGACCGCCTTCAGCACGATTTTACAGAAACCCAATTTCCTCTTGAACCCCTGTCTTTTCTTTTAGGAGTTTATAAAAATGTCATTCACAAGTAATTTTATGAAACACTTGTCTATTAAAATGTCCCAATTATGCTTTTTTTAAATATATACGTTGGGTTGTTTTTTCTTTGTGAGTACATACAGCAGCTGTGTTTCCTCAGAAAAATGAGAATTTTGCTGTTCTGGGAGGACCCGTGACGCACCGGTGGCCTTTTCACTCCCAATGTTTCATACCCGTTTGTCATCCTTAACATTTCACACTGCTTGTGAGATGTTTTAGCCAACTATAGACCTATATCCAACCTTCCATTCATCTCCAAGGTCCTGGAGAAAGCAGTAGCCAAACAGCTGTGTGACTATCTACATAGCAATAGCTTGTTTGAGGATTTTCAGTCAGGATTTAGAGCTCACCATAGCACAGAGACCGCACTGGTGAAAATTACTAATGACCTCCTAATGGCATCAGACAAAGGACTCGTCTCTGTCTTGGTTTTATTAGATCTTAGTGCTGCTTTTGACACCATTGACCATCAGATCCTACTACAGAGACTGGAACATTTCATCGGCATTAAAGGAGCCGTTCTAAGTGCCAGAGTTAGCCACGGAGTTCCGCAAGGATCCCTTCTCGGACCAATCCTCTTTACATTATAAATGCTTCCTTTAGGTAATATTATCAGGAAACACTCTATCAACTTTCATTGCTATGCAGATGATACTCAGTTATACCTATCGATCAAGCCAGATGAAACTCATCAGCTAGCTAAGCTTAAAATGTGCCTTCAGGATGTTAAAACCTGGATGACCTGCAATTTTCTAATGTTAAACTCAGCTAAAACTGAAGTTATTGTTCTAGGGCCTGAACACCTTCGTGACGCATTATCTAGAGATATAGTTTCCCTGGATGGCATCGCCCTGGCCTCCAGCACCACTGTGAGAAATCTTGGAGTTATCTTCGATCAGGACATGTCGTTTAACTCTCACATTAAGCAAATTTCAAGAACCGCCTTCTTTCACCTTCGTAATATTGCTAAAATTAGGAGCATCCTGTGTAAAAATGATGCAGAAAAACTAGTCCATGCATTTGTTACTTCTAGGCTGGATTACTGCAATTCCTTGTTATCAGGGTCTTCAAAAAAGTCCATTAGGACTCTTCAGCTGATCCAGAATGCTGCAGCACGTGTTCTTACAGGAACCAGAAAAAGAGATCAGATTTCTCCTGTCTTGGCTTCTTTGCACTGGCTTCCTGTTAAATCCAGAATAGAATTTAAAATCCTTCTCCTTACGTATAAAGCTCTTCATGGTCAGGCCCCATCTTATCTTAAAGAGCTTTTAGTACCTTACTGCCCTACCAGAGAACTGTGCTCCCAGAATGAAGGGTTACTTGCAGTTCCTAGAGTCTTGAAAACTAGAATGGGCGCTAGAGCGTTCAGCTATCAGAGTCCTCTTTTGTGGAACCCGGTTCCAGTTTGGGTCCGGGAGGCAGACACCGTCTCTATATTTAAGAGTAGGCTTAAGACTTTCCTTTATGATAGAGCTTATAGTTAGAGTAAGTCCACCCCTGGTTGTGCTGCTATAGGCCTAGACTGCCGGGGGATGCATCATGATGCACCGAGCTCCCCTTTCCTTTCTCTCTCTCCCTCCCGGTGCAACCTCATTCCATTAACAATGTTACTAACTGGACCTTCTCCTTTCCCCGTAGTCGTGTGCTTTCTCGTCCCCCTTCTCTCTTCTCTCTCTTGCTAACACTTTCTGCAGATATTCCTGGCTCTGGAGCTGTGGGGTCTGGATCTGTGGTTGGGAGTCTCCTCTTATCACTTCCTGCAGGTGTTCCTAGAGCTGTGGAGTCTGGATCTGTGGTTGGGAGTTTCCTGCTGCCCCCATGTTCCTGCTCATCATTAGCATTAATATCATTGCCATTTTTAATCTATTCTACGTGTTGCTGTGTTGGCTGCCCCTCTCTGCTCCTTCTGTCCTTCTCTCGCCCTCTCTCTCTCTCTTGCTCTCTCTTTCCCCTCACCCCCAACCGGCCGAGGCAGATGGCCGCCCACCCTGAGCCATGGTTCTGCTCCAGGTTTCTGCCTGTTAAAAGGAAGTTGTTCCTTGCCTGTGTCGCCTAGTGCTTGCTCATGGTGGGAATTGTTGGGTTTCTGTAGTTAACTTCAGAGTAGGTCTGACCTGCTCTGTTTGGAAAGCTGTGAGACAACTGTTGTTGTGATGTGGCGCTATATAAATAAAATTGAATTGAATTGAATTGAATTGCTTCAAATTTGACCTTTTACAAAATGACTAGGAATACGGGGGGGTGGCAGAACAGGCAGGAAATGAAACCAATCTATCATTTGAGTCATATTTACTGGAAATCTGGTCAAAACTGACAAACGGGGCGATCAAATTTGAAGGATACTGAAATGATGAAAGGGGGATTTTATATCAGAAGATGATATGTGCCATACAGAAATGATGTCATACGCTTTTCTTAATTACTTGAATCCAACTGGCTCTGAATGAATCTCTATTTTCCAGGTTACTACAGACATTTTCATTTTTTCAGTCTAATGTCTGTTAGTTGGTCCTCTGTGTTCCCTGCCAGTAGTGAGCACAGAGAGGGTTTAACAGAGACCCAAACCAGTGTTCTGCAAGTTTTTTTTATAGGAGAACATCGTTAAGAACGTATGTGTCTTGAAAGAAGATCTTGATAAAATAAACCCCAAGACAGGGTCAAATAAGCAAATATGTTATTTACATGGACAATACAAAATATGTCAGATGATTACATCCATGACTGGGATATGGATTACTATTCCCAGCGGAGTGCACATTGAGTGAATGTGTGTCTGCTTTAGGTCCGCTCGCTCCTCACACAGCCGGCCGGCAGCTGCCTGCAGCTGGACTTCAGCAGGGCCACAGCGGGCCGCCCGGTCCAGCTGTGGCTCCAGGCACGGGGTTTCCTCTGGGCTGGTTCTATTGTGCCTCAGCCCGCTGGTTCAGGTCTGAGGGCAGGCTGGTGCATCTGCGCAGAGGTGGATGGCTGCAAACACAGTGTTGATAGTACAATTTGATTTTTAGCCTCAAGAAAAGCAATAGTGCCTATTGCTTACATGTTGCTAAGGACCAAAACAAACATATCATGAGGACTGCTGGAAGGTTTGCTGTAACAATGTGTGCTGCGCATTGCTTCACTAAACTATCTTATTCAACTTTTCATTTCCCCGGTGGAGCTGTGAGATAGTCAGTGCTGTTGTGCTCCAGTCCCAAAGCTGCCTGCCTTATCTGTACTTTGAGATTACACATCATGTTAAAGGGGAAGCAGGATACCGAGTAATCATCTGTAAGAGAAGACGTGCTCTTTGCACTCCAAACCTGATGTTGTCCTCCACCTGGCTGCTCAGAGCCGGCTCGTCTCTAACCATGCTGAAGAGCCGATTAAAGTCTGCGGGGACATCTGGAATCCATCTCTTTACCCTAGAAGGAGAAATCAAAGTCAGACCAAAAGTAAAAGGCCTCTAAACTTCTGTTTGATCATTTCCACAGATATACCCGGAACATGCTAAATGTTCCCCCAATGAAGTGAAATATCCTGATGAATATGGCTGTGGAAATGATTACTCTGTCTCTAAATCAAAATAAAAACATGTTCCATTTTTGTCCAGCTGTGTTGCTGCCAGCGTGAGCACATCCTGACTCCCCAGCGTTTGACCTGCTGGACTCTGTCCGGCGCTTACCTCTGGGCCAGTGACCACGCCGACTCAAAGGGCAGATACGAAGCCACGCTCTTTGGCAAGCAGTCCGTCATGCGGGTCAGCAGGCCAGCAGCTCTGTGCGTGTCCCGACAGGCCTGACATAGGACTGACCAGGAAGCATTAGCACTCAGTTCTGTGCTTTCCACCGGCCAATCGGCTGAGAGCCTTACCCCTTTGAATGCTGACTGGAAGGTTTTCTATGAGTTTTGGATCCAACCACCAGTGGTCAGCCGGCGCCTGCTTTAGTCCCTGCGGCTCTGCCCCCCCGCTGGACTGCGTGGCTGCACCTGACTCATTGAGCTGGTCGCAACACACGCGGCCGGTGGCATCACCCCCCAGCCCCCTCAGAGAGCCCTCAGCGCCGATCAGATCTGTGGGGAGCAGTCAGAGCAGAAACCAGGAGGAGAAAGAAGCTCCCGACCACGGCATTATCAGTAAACAGAGCCTGCAGGGATTAAAAGCTCCTCTTCTCAGCGTTCATTTTGAACAGACATGGCAAAGCCTCCTCACTGTTTTCTCGCAAGAAGCGCAGAGCATCCAGGTATCCGCCCTGGCAGATTCTGGCCATGGCCTACAGGCAAAGGACAGCTGCTCAGGAAACGGGCTGGGATGCAGAATGTGGTCCGAATGCTGAATGACTTGTAAAGAAATAAACCCTGGTGTAGGGGCTGCAGGCGGGGAGCGGCGCTCACCTCAGCGTCCGGCGGGAAGAAGGTGCTGGTCACCCGGTACAGGTTCTCTGAGTTGACCTGGATGCTGACGTTGTTGAAGTTGACCTGGTGGAAGCTGGGCGTGCTGGCCCGGGGGCACAGGTCACTCTCCCCGGCGTACGGGGACACGGCCAGGGTGTTCCCCACATGACGGCCGGGCAGGTTGTCGCTCACAGCGCCGTCCACATAGCGCTGGACAGAGACAGGCGCTGGTCAGAGGGGCCAGTCGACCGGCACGACCAGGGTACTGAACCTAATCTCACAAACCGGGAGAGAACTGAAGCGCTTTCATATAAAAACTATTCTATACATTCCCTGAACCCCTTTTTGGTTTTTAATGTGATCAATACAACTATAATTTGTACCATCCATCCATCCCTCCATTTTCATAGCCTCTTATTTCCTAACGGGGTCAGGGGGGACTGGAGCCTGGACGGTGGGAGGAAGCCGGAGAACCCGGAGAGAACCCACAGACACAGGAGAACATGCAGACTCCACCCAGAAAGGTCCTGGTTCCCCCGGGATTCAAACCCAGAACCCTCTGGTCCTGGTTCCCCCGGGACTCCAACCCAGAACCCTCTGGTCCTGGTTCCCCCGGGACTAGAACCCAGAACCCTCTGGTCCTGGTTCCCCCGGGGACTCCAACCCAGAACCCTCTGGTCCTGGTTCCCCCGGGACTCCAACCCAGAACCCTCTGGTCCTGGTTCCCCCGGGACTCCACCCAGAGCCCTTCTGAGTTGTAGCATGGATAGGTGTGGCTGGATTGGCAGCAGAGCTCTCTGGCTGGGGGGTCCGGGGGGGGGGGGGGGGGGG